TACCATATATAAGTATTAACTCAAAATGAATCAAAGACCTAAAAGTGCTAAAATTCTTAGAAGAAAACATAGGTTCAAATCTTCATGACCTTAGATTGACAATGGTGTCTGAGATATGACACCTGAAACACAAGCAACCAAAGAATAAATAGATAATTCGGACTCAAAATTTAAAAATTGGGTGAATCAAAAGGCACTATCAAGAAAGCGAAAAAACAACCCATAGAATTGGAGAAAATATTTGCAAATCTGATATCTGATGAGGGTCTAGTATCCAGAATATACAAAGAGCTCTTATAACTCAACAACAGAAAGACTAATAGTCCAGTTTAAAAATGGGCAAAGAGTTGAATAGATGTTTCTCCAAAGAAGATATGTAAGTGCCCAAAAAGCACATGAAAAAAACATCCAATGCCATTATTTATTAGGCAAATGGAAATCAAAACCACAATGAAGTACTATTTCATATCCACTAGGATGGCTATCACCAAAAAATAATAGTAAGTGTGGATTGAACCCTCATGCATCGCTTGTCAAAGACTTCACACTGTTTGATTCTACAATCAACACCAATGGAAGCAGCAATCAAGACATCAAAAGGCATATTGCACTGGGCAAATCTGTTGCAAAAGACCTTTCTCAAGTGCTGAAGAGCAAAGATGTCTCCTTGAAGACTAAGATGATCCTAACCCAAGCCATGGTATTTCAATCCCCTTATAAACATGTGAGAGCTGGACAACGAATAAGGAAGATCGAAGAAGAATTGATGGTTTTGAGTTGTGGTGCTGGCGAAGAATGCTGAAAGTACCATGGACTGCTGAGAGAACTAACAGACCTGTCCTGGAGGAAGTGCAACTGGAATGCTCCTTGGAAGCAAGAACGGCCAAACTTCGTCTCACATACTTTGGTCATGTTGTGAGAAGGGACCATTCTCTGCAGAAGGATGTCATGCTTGGTAAAGTGAAGGGTCAATGAAAAAGGGGAAGGCCCTCAGCAAGATGGATTGACACAGTGGCTGCAATGGTGGGCTCAGGTACAGTCGGGATCGTGAGGCTGGCACAGGACCAGGTGATGTTTCGTTCTGCTGTGCACAAGGTCACTATGAGTCGGAGACGACTCAATGGCACATAACAACAATAACAAGCAACGTACATTGCTTATATGGATGTAAAATGGCACAGCCACTTTGAAAACGTTTGACAGTCCCTCCAAAAACTAAACATAGAGTTACTGTATGATCTACTAATGCCACTCCTAGGTATACACTCAAGAAAACAAATGTTCACACAAAGACTTGTACACTAATGTTGACAGCAGTATTATTCATAATAGTAAAAAAGTAGAGACACCCTAGATGTCCTTCAGTTGCTGAATGAATAAGTAAAATGTGGTGTATCTGTACGATGGAATATTATTCAATCACAAAGTGAATGCAATTCTGATATGTGTGCAATAAGGATGAAGCTAGAAAACATTATATGTATTGAAAGAAGCCAGACACAATGTTATGTGATTCTATTTATATGAAATGTCCAGAATTGGCAAACCCATACAGATAGAAAGTAGATTCATGGTTGCCAGGGGTTTGGGGAACAGGGGAATGGGAAGTGACTGGTACGGAGGTTCTTTTTGTAGGGGTGAGAATGTTTTAGAATTAGATTGTGATGATAGTTGTATAACATTACACATACACTAAAGGCTTTGAATGGTACACTTTAAAATTCTTCCACATGCCTTTTGAGGGATATCTGATGGACCTTTCCATTGGTATATTCTTGGAGTGCAATTCCTGGGAGGGGATATGCATATATTATTTTAGTAGACATTGCCAAGCAGTTTTCCCAAGTGGTTGACTCACTTTACACTCCTGCCACCAAGGTCCATGAGTTCTAGTTGCTCTGCATCCTTGTCTACACTTGGTATTGGCAGTCTTTTTAGTTTTGGCCACTCTGGTGGGTGTAACTGAAGTTTTCATTTGCATTTTCCTTATGAGTAATGAGGTTGAGCTCATTTTCATATGCCTGTTGGTCATTTGGATATCCGTATTTGTGAAGTACCTGTTTAGCTAATTTGGTTGTTGTCTTTCTATTATTCACATGTAGGCTTTTTAAAATATGTTCTGGTCATGAGATCTTTGTTAATATCTATGAGTTGCCAACATCTTCGTCCACCCCGTGCCTTGCCTTTTCACATTCTTAATGATCTCTTTTGATCAGCAGAAGTTTTTAATTTTGGAGACATCCAATTTACCGACTTTTTATTTTATAGTCAATGCCATTTGTGTCCTAGTTAAGAAATATTTGCCTACCCCTTCAATATCACTTGAAGCCACCTCCTCCCCTCTGATTTCTTTGTCTCTGCTCAGCTTTCTGCTGCCAGATTTCTCCCGGCCTGGTCACCCTCCTCCCCACCGTCCCCCACCTCAGTTGCTGTTTCCTGTAGCTCACCTTCCTCACTGTCATCTGCATGATCTTCCTGCCCAGGGACAGGTCTGGTTCTCCTCCCCCATGTCCCGGGGCTGGCAGACACTAGGTGCTCAATAAAACCTTCCTAAATGAGTACAGTGTCCCTTGGCCCAGCTGGGGACCATTAAAACTGTCAATTAGTTCAAAACACCAGCTCATCAGGAACATTTGAGCAAAGCCAGAGAAATAAAAAGTTTTGGAAAAAACCACAAGATAGGAATGTTTAGCTTTCTCCCCAACTGGAGGCTTAATCACGGAAACTCAGACCTTGTTAACATGATTTATTCTTGCTTCTGCCCCTGTGGGGACTAGGGTGCCTTTCTCCTGCCTGGTTTGGCTGCAAGAGTACCCCGTCTGTCCCCTATATTTGCTAACTCTGAATGGGAGGGACATCTGTGGTCCCCTCCTAGTCCTTCTCTTCACCGTGGGTGATGACATAGCACAGGTTCCTGTAGTCCAGGTTACCACACACATCTGGTGGAAAAGCTGCAAACATCTGCTTGATCTGGGGAAAGAGCAAGGAGTCAACTTAGACCAGGGTGGAATGGGGGCCAGATAGACTGGGACCTGGAGCCATGGCTCATCCAAGTGTCAGGCAGCACCTTCCTCCCCTCCTTGTAGACAGAGCATCAGGGCGTGGGGCAGAGGGTCTAAGCAGGCAGACCAAGGTCCTACAAACAGCCCAATCCTAACCCCCTGCAACCCCACCCACCCCTTGCTTGTTCTCAACCATGAGGAGGTCAACTTGGCACCAAAAGAAAGGGATCCCAGGGAGGGAAGGGGCAGGGCTGTAGAGCAGAGCCCTAGGTAGGGCGGGGCCCCAGGAAGACCCTCCACAGTGGCCAGAAGAGCCTTGCAAAGGCCACACTTACCTCTTCCTCACTGAACCTGTCTGCCTGGGTCATAAGCTTCTCCTTGATGCTGCTCAAGGAAGAGAAATAGAAATGGCCTGCTCAGGGGAAGGGCTTCCTGCACGTGGGCACTCAGATGCCAGGTGATGAGGGCAGCTGGGCAGGAGAAGTCCTGCCCCAGGAGGATACCAACTAGGCTGGCCCTACTGGCCCTTGGCTGGCTGTATATAGACTCTGGCAGCCAAGTCCATTCTCTGAGTCTCAGTCCCTCATCTGTCGTGTGGGTTCACCTCCAGCATTGGGTGGGGACCAAATGAAATGACCTGGGGCCTGAAACCACCTTGGGAGCCACTCTAACTTCTCACTGTGCTAACAATAAGCCTCCAGGTCACAGCACAGAGGCAACCTTCTTTGACATATGGGCTTGATATGGCGTCTGACGACCCTTGAAATTTTCATGGTGCTTTCTGGTGTACAAGGCACTCAACAGTGAAGAGCTCAGGAGACCTGCCCAGGTCTCACCTGTCCTCACAGACCTGGGAGACGAGTATCATTGTCCCCTTTTTACTGAGGGGGGAACTGAGGTTCAGGAGGGGGTTGATTGCCCAAGATCCCAGAGTAAGACCGTGGCAGGAGCCCAAGCTGGCCTGAGTCTTAAGGAGTGGCAGAGGAGGTCGTGGGAACCATGTTGGAGTCCATGTGCAACAGGCTGATGCCCTACCATGCTTGGAGGGCTCAAGGGGCACTGTGGGGGCTGGGAGAGATCAAAGGGCTGAGCGGGTCCCTCCTACACCCAGAGTGTCCTCTGGTGCTGGCAGCTAGCAGCAGGCCCCACTAAAGGGAGACACACATTTTCCATTATTTATGTTACTGCAGGACAGTCCCAATTTCCAGTTCTTCAAATGGGGACTTTTCAGACTCTCTTTCTGCAAGACATGCCGTGCAATGAAGGGCTCTGCCAGAGCCTCGCTGGCCGCCTGGCCCGCAGCCCAGCTTCCAGGTCCCATATCCCAGCAAGCGGGTGAGGGGTGGTGCCTCTAGTTCTCAAACTGGTCCCTGAAGGGCTACTCCCAGTCCGCCCTCACACTGACAGGAGTGAAGAGCAGAAGGGTCGGCCCAGGCCAACCCAGGGGGATCCCCAGGGTTCCCTCGGGCCCCCAAGGTGGGCATGGGGGCCAGGGACACCAAGAGAAAGATAAAAAAAGAAATCCTCAGCAGCCCTTCCATGACCCTAGAGAAGTAGGTAACTTACAACCTGGCGGGTAGAGGGGAGAATGTGTGGAAAGACTCTACCCCCGTTATCTGATTATTCTAATACCCAGTAAAATTATTCTCAAAATGAAGACCAAAGCAGCAAAACCTTGACCAGGAAGCCTCTGCCCATAAGCCCAGTGTGGCCTCAGAGGCTTTAACAGGGCTGCATGGGGACAGTTCAGAGGTCACCTCAGTGTCCCGCCCCTGGGCAGGCTGCTGCCCTCCCTCCACCCACTGCGGCTCCCTGCTCCCTGCACGCTCACTGGCCCTTGTTGTTGTTGTTGTTATCTGCCGTCGAGTCGGACCTGACTCATAGCGACCCCTCCTTAGGCTCCCAGTAAAGCAGGTCATCCAAGTCAGTACCTCCAGCTCCAGGATTCCAGCCCAGCATCCCACCAGACATCACTCATGGCCACCTCCGATTCAATGCACCCTTCCTCACGTCCTCCAGGCTGGCCTCCACATCCCTGCCTAGCTCTTTCTCAGGCTTGCCGATGCCCCCTGGGCAGACCTGGGGTCCAGAACTCACTGTGTGCATCACCCTCATGCAGGTCTTATGCTCAGTCTCCAAATCCCACAATCTGCCTGCACCTCCAGCTACTGCAGACACCTGTTCAGGGACCCTGCAGAGTTCAGCCCTTGACTCTTCACTCACACTCATCTTCAAGGCTGATCTCTGTCCTCCCACCCCACCACAGAAGGCTCTGCCCAAGTGATCTCACACTCCGCATACGCGTCCGGTCCGAAATCACGCAGAGGTGGGGGCACTGAGGCCCAGAGAGGGAGTGGGACTTTAAACACGTGGCTGGGCTGGTCATGGAGGGTAACTTACAAATCAGCCTTGATGAAGCCTTTCCCCTCAGTGTCGAACACTTTGAAGGCATGGAGAATGGTCTCCTCCGGGTCTGTGCCTAGAAGCAGCACACACACAGGGCAGGGAGAGAGGCAGGCTGAGAAGGGTCCCATGGAAACAGGACAGAGATGAGCAGGGGTTGGGGGGGGGGGGAGCATGGTGCCTGCCGAGGCCGGGGGAGCTTCCTCCTCAGCTGTCACTCAACAGTGGGGTAGGGCCCATTTGAAGCAAGTGCAGAACGCTTCATGGAAACAAGTTATGCTAATAGAAGAATGGGGCCTTGCATCAGGCTGTGAATGGCCTGCCTGCACAGCTATATAAGGAGACCCTGCTTGGGCGTGGACTATGCCAGGTACTGTGCTTGCCCACTTCCTGAGAGCTGTCCTTATTTTACAGATGAAGAAACTGAGGCTCAGAGAGGTTAAGTGACTCGCCCAAGGCCTCACAGCTGGCAATTGGTAGGGCTTCTGATGCTGCCCTGTGATTAGTGAGGTCCACGGGGCAGCAGCTCTGGGGCTCCTTACCCAAGATGCGCATGAGAGATGGCGAGTGGAGGCAGAAGGCTGAGACTTGGCCTTGAGCCTTGCAGAGAGAGGCCTGTGAGACCCTCCCAGCCAGAGGAGGGGTGGGGAGGTGGGGCCAGCATACCTAGGACAGGTCTGGCTCTGTCACTTTCATGGTGCGGGCTTTTCGGGAAAGACCTCTTCAAGAGGAGATGGTTTTGTTGCTCACACCCAGCCCCTTCACTGTACATACAGACAGGGAAACTGAGGCCCAGAGAGAGGAAGTATTTAATCCAAGACCTCCCAGGCTGTGTGAGGGACAGCAGGGGCTGCACAGAAGCCTGTGACCCTCACCCGATGCTCTTTTCTCTTGGTTGCACTGTGATAGGACTTTATTAATGGGAAAGAGACGGACAAACATGAATGTACACTGCGCCAGGCTCCGTGCCTGCAGTTTCCCCTTCACCCCATATGACCCCAGACCAACCCTGGGTGGGAGGTATTGACACTCCAATTTGTCAAAGAGGAAACTGAGGTTCAGAGAGGTTCTGCTACTTGTCTGAGGTCCTGTAACTAATAAGGGGGGGCAGGACTTGAACCCAACTCTGTCATTCTCCAGGGCCCCTGCTTTCTGCCACTCTGGGCTCTTGCTCACGGCAGGCCAAGCCTCCATCAGACTGGGTCAAGGCCCCCTGTACCTCCCCCATCAGACCAGGTCAAGGACCTCCTTGTCTCCACTATTGGACTAAGTCAGGGCCCTCTGTGTCTCCCCCATCAGACGGGGTCAGGACCCTCGCTGCCTGCCCCTCCACCAGACTGGGTCAGGGCCCTTGTGTCTCCACCATTGGACTGGGTCAGGGCTTTTATCTCCCTGTAGAGCAGTGAATTACTATAACATGGCCCTTCTAACCCAGAGGGCAGAGCTGTGAGCTTCTTGTGGGCAGGACAACAGGGATCCACTGTGCCCAGCCCAAGGGCTCAGCCTGGGGGTCCAGCCAGAGAGGGATCCAGCCCTTATGGCAGCAGGACAGGCAGAGAGAGACAGCTCCAGGTGAATGGTCAGTTGGTTGTGGTAGGGGGTTGGCATGGGGTCCTGGCCTCCCAGGCCACAGCTCCCAGCTCCCTCTAATGCTTGTCTTTGAGCACAGACCTCCCTGCAGGCTTGTGGCTGAGGACTGCTGCATGAGGACTGAGTTACCTAACTCAGCGGTCGGACACTCCCCACAGGCTGACCACTCCCTCCCACGGTTCCTCCTGGCTCCCAAGAAAGGGCCTCTGCTCTCATAAAATGGGCATAGAGTGACTCCTTTCCCTGTCGTTGTTGGGAATCTCATGACAGAGTCTCCTCGTTCCAATTAGTGGACGAGACAGTGCCTGCCCTAGCCGCCGCTCCTGTCCCCACCCGCTGGCCGCTCATGCAGGCTGGGTCACATTTGCATGACAGGCTCCACTGAGGCCCCCTTCCTGACTCTCTGGCAAAAATGAGGAAAAGCTGCTACCTTGGGGCCCCCACCTGGTCTGGGTCACAGCTTCAGCACTGCCCCAGATCTATGCAACGTCAGGCCTCAGTCTCCCATCTCTTAGTGATCTGGAGCCCATTGTTATCTGACGGGCCTCTCCTTACCCTCCCATTCCTCTGAGCATCCAGAAGGGGTCCTAAAGGAGCGCTCGTGGTGCAGTGGTTAAAGCACTTGGCTGCTGACCAAAATGTTGGCAGTTTGAATCCACCAGCCGCTCGGCGGGAGAAAGATGAAGCAGCCGGCTTCTGTGAAGATTGACGCCTTGGAAATCCTATGGGGCAGTTCTACTCTGTCCTCCAGGGGTGCTGTGAGTAGGAATCAACTCGAAGGCAGTGGGTTTGGGTTTGGCACCTCCCACCCTCAGATCCTGAGCCCATTCTGCCTACCCGTCACACACACAAATCCTGGGACGGGTGGTCCCACTGCCTTGCCCCACAGTGACAGGCCCAGGCCTCCCAGGCCAAACCCTCAGTCAGCCAAGCCAGCTAACTCCAAGGCCAGCTCCCCAGTTCCTTTTGCTGGTCTTCAGTTAAGTTTCCTCAGAATGAAAGATGAAGGTTTGTCCATCTGCTTCCCTTAAGGTCTCTGGCTGGAGTCACAGTGGCCTTTCCCATAGCTCCTATACCACACCCTAGCCTGTTGGGCTTCTGAGCACTTCAAAGAGACAGCCCTAAGAATAACCCCTAGCATCCGCCTGGAGCGCCCAGAGGGCCCAATGGCTCTCCCGACTCCGTGGGACAGCCCCAGTTCATAGTCTGCCCTGGCTGGGCATCCCTGGACCTCTCTGGCCCTCGGTTTCCTCATCTCAGCTTCCTCATCCTCAGTCAATACAACACTGAAGGATGGACTGTTGGGTGACATAACACTGGTGGCCTCCTTCTAGCTCCAAGATCCTCCAGGACATTGTGTCACGACCCCATGCAAAAGTTTTATGACTTTTTATCAAATAAAATTTGTGATGTCAGATAAGATCACCCCCATTTTACAGGTAAAGAACTGAGGTCCAGAGAGGACACAAGGCTTGCCCAAGCTCACCCTGAGAGTCGGTGGTAGACAAGGAGACAGCCTGAGGATTGGGTAACAACTCTCACCTCACAGGGCACCCACAGCCCAGGCTGGCTCTCCCTCTGATTGCAGAACCTGCCAGGGATGTCATAAGGGAACAGAGGTGGCTGGATTGCCCCCAACCCCCTGCCCCCACCAGATGCTGTGTTTCAGGAGAGTGCAGTGGTTAGAGCCAGGAGTCAGGATTAGAATTCCACGTGGACACATTGTTTTCTGTTTTTGTTTTGTTGGAGCATCTGGGGCGAGCCTCCACACCCCTCTGAGCCAGGTCTCCTCATCAGGGGGTGATGTGCTGCGGTGACCCTTGTGGTCACAAGTCATGTTGTCCTGGTCACAAGGCAAGTAATGTGCCCTGCCCTGGACTGGCCTCAGTAGCCTTCAGACAAAATGTTGGTGCTCTCCCCCTCTAGCACCTCTAGCAGCTGGGGGGCAGTGAGGCAGCATGGGGAAAATGGGGGGAGGTGGGGAGAGGAGGTAGTGTCTCGGGAGCAGAAAAAGGACAATGGGGAAAGGGCTTTTCTCCGAATTGTCTCACTGGGTCCCCTCTTAGTGATTCAATGCAAGGGCTGTTGCAATTATCCCTAGTCCAGTATGAAGGAGAAGGAGCTCTGGTGGTAGTGCCTAAGACATCTGACTGGTAACCAGAAGGTTGGCAGTTCAAATCCACCAGCCACTCCTCAGAAGGAAGGTTGGACAATCCACTTCCTCAGAGATATCACCTCAGAAACCCAAGGAGGGGTCGCTATGAGTCGGAATCGACTCAATGGCAGTGAGTTTGCTTTTTGAGTGTGAAAGAGAAACTGAGGCAGGGCCTGGAAAGATATATACACCTGGGACCTGGTGTCTGGATGCCACACCTTGTTCCCAGCCGTGGTGTGAGTGTGTGTCTATGTGTGTGCACGCGCAGGGTTGGGGGGAGCTTGTCTGTACCTGGGCTGTCCCCACCATCCCCTTCCCAGGGCCGCCAGGAACCTCACTCACCCTTCAGCTTCTCCCCAAACATGGTCAGGAAGACCGTGAAATTGATGGGCCCAGGGGCCTCCTTCACCATGGCCTCCAGCTCCTCATTCCTGACATTGACGCGGCCTGGAGGCATGGAAAGGGTGGGACACAGTGGGGGTCAGAAAGGGGCCGGCGTCCAGGCAGCCCACGAGGAGCTTCCCGACGCCCAACTCTGCCGGCCCACCCCAGCCCCTCTCAGCCCGAGGGCCCTGCCCACCTGCTGGGGCCCAGAGCAGGGAGCAGCATTGTCCACGGTCAGCAGAGGGCTGCCCCCAGACTCCCCCTTCCCTCCACTTCAGCCCTCCTGCAAAGGAGAGCAAGTCAGTCATTGTCCCCACTTTATAGAGGGAAACGGAGGCACAAAGAGGCTGCGAGTCTTGACGTGCAAGCTGTGTACAAGGCTGGAAGGCCTAGTTGTCCCTGAGTGTCAGGCCACTTACCCCAGGAGGGTTCAGCAAGTTGCTGGGGTGGGGGAGGGGCTCTGGGGTTGCCCATGGTCCCAGTGAACAGCAAAGGCCCAATACTCAGTCTAGAGATGACTTAGTTGTGGCCCCTTCCCCCAGCTCTGCCCACTCCTTAAAGCCCTTCTCTGGGCCCTTAGAGAGTGAAAAAGCCTCTTCCGACATTTGAGTTTCATCCACACCCTTGGGCTCTGCCAATGTCACAGCCCCGCCCACCCTGCAGCTTCTTACCTGTTTCCATGAGTTCTCACCACACCCCTGGCCCTTCCACACCAGGCCTTTGCACAGGCCTTGCCTGTGCCTGGAACAGCTTCCCTTTCTCTGACCACGTCCTCCTCGGCTTTGACACCTGGCTCTACCCCTGGTTACTCACTCTGGCTTCCCAGGGACAGGCACCCCTGCTCCACCCCACAGCACCTGTGTCTTCATGCTGGCAGCACCCACTGCCCTAGATTCCCGCGGCCCCTCCCTTGGCCCCGTCCCGCAAGAGCTCCTCCTCTCATTTCTGGCGCCCACTCAGCCAGCCCACCAGTGGGCATCAGAAGTGTATGCTGACTGACCGTGTAACCGAGGTCACCCACCCAGTGCAGCAAAGGTGTCTCTCAGGTCCTCCTTGTCGATGAAGCCATCCCGGTTCTGGTCCATGATGGTGAAGGCCTGGCAGAGGTATGGGCTCTGAACAGCACTGTCACCCACGCCCAGGTCTATCCTGGCACCCCCCACCCCAAGAGATTGTCCTCCTGTAAACCACTGCCTAAGCCACCTCAGCGAAGGCCCACTGGCCATCCTGCTGGGGTTTCATATGCATTGCCTTCAATGTTCATAAAGAAAGAAAGAAACCACTGCCATTGAGTCGATTCCAACTCATAACAACCCCCATTGGGTTTCTAAGGCAGTGAATCTTTAAGGAAGTAGATTGCCCAGTCTTCCTTCCACAGAGTGGCTAGTAAGTTTGAACTGCCAACCTTCTGGTTAGCAGTCAAATTCCCTTAGGCACTGCACCACCAGAGCTTCTTAATATAAGCAAAACATGGATATTATAGAAGACCTTGACTTTGTTCATGTTGTTGTTGTTGTTGTTGTTTTGCCGTCGAGTCGGCCCCGACTCATAGCAACCCCATTTCCCAAACAGGGAAACCGAGGCTCAAAGAGAAAGGACTTGTCCAAGGTCATACTGAAAGCAAAGGCTTAGGTGCCAAGAGGAGAAGAGGTTACCCAAGGGCAGAAGGACACGTGTCTCTTAGACTCTAGACTTTGAGGCACCACATGGTGGCCTCTAAGAATAATGACATCATCCTCCTGAGCATTTGAGGTCTGGCTGTGTGCTAGGTTCACTGAGCAGTTTGCATGCATGACATTAATCTTTCCAACAACCCCATGGGACAGCTGACCAACCTCTTTAAATTCTTGGATCTGGGACTGATCAAACATGGAGAAGACGTTGGAGCTGGCTCCACCCTCGGCTCTTTTCCGGGCTCTTCTCGGTCCCTGCCAAGTACCAAGGGAGGCCTTGGAGCAGCACCTTCCACACTCGTTCCCCTCCCCCCATCACCCAGAGCAGCCCCGAATGGCATTGCTCCGTCCTCAGGGTCAGGCTTGTAGTGAAGCTTTGCTGATCACCAACCAGCAAGTCCCCCCAGCCTACAGCCAGAAGTCTGCTGAGTGCCCACCCACAGGGCCAGACAGCTGCTTCCTGACCCAAGCCCTGGACGCCAGCAGGTGAGTGGCCAGCACTCAGCCTGTGGAGCATGATAAGTACTGTTTCTAGAATCAGCCTCTGTGGGGTTTCCACCTAATGCTGGAGGGAACCTTAGAAACAGGCATCTAACCTTGGTATGCATCCTTCCCTAGTGCTCTCAAGAAGGAGCTCTGGTGGTGCAGTGGTTAAGGCATTTGACTGCTAACCAAAAGGTCAGTGGTTTGAACCCACCAGCCACTCCATGGGAGAAAGATGGGGCAGTCTGCTTTCGAAAAGATTTACAGTCTTTGAAAATCTATGGGGCAGTTCCACTCTATCCTCTAGGGTCACCATGAGTGGAATTAACTCTATGGTAGTAGGTTTTTTAGGGCCCTCAGGATAACATCTGGTGCCTTACGCCAGCAAGGTCCCCCATGTGCCTCTTCCAACTTATCCCCTCCTAAGCTGATTAGAGCTTTTTTCTCTCCCAACTTCTACCCTTGCTGTCCTTATTGCCCGGAATGCCTTTCCTGGGAGGACCCCTCAAGCTCAACCTCTCTGTGGCCCTCTCTGAGAAGCTTCCCAGATCCAGCTTCCTCACCCCCACCTTCACTCCATGTCACCATCTTGTGTTGCCCCTCCCCACAGTGCCCTCCACACTGCCCTGCACCCCGTCTGTCTCCCCAGCCAAGTGCAGACCTCCAGGGCCAGCCCAGTCTGTCTCACTTCCGGTCCTTCCGGCACCTCCCCGCCTTCCTCCCTGCCCCCTGCCACCACAGGGCCTGGCTCTTGGCCAATGATTGGAGATGGCTGCCCAGGAGGCCCACAGGGCAGGCAGAGACCCCACGTGAAGCAGGTGGAGCATTACTGACTCCCGATATGTCTTTCAAGATGTCACATGGCCTGAGAGTCCACATTAGGCCTTAGCTGACAGCTCTCTGGCCCCCAAGACCCCCTGAGGGGCTGACCTTTCCCTCAGTAGCTTTCACTAGAGTCCCAGGTGCTGTAGTCCTAGAACTGGCTCTTGAGGGAAGAAAAAACAGCCTGAGCATCACAGGGTGAGGTGGAAGGGGCTGCCCACTCCATAGCCCCCTCCCCAGACCCCATCCCCAGCTCCTGCCTCCATCTCAGCCTCTTTGCCAAGCCCTTGTCCTCCCCGCGCCCCCCCCCAGGTGGCCTGATCTCCTGAGCAGGGGCTTCCCCTGGCTCCCCTGAACCCCCAGTGTCTGTGTGGTCCCCCTCCCCCTGCTCCCCCGTCCCCCTCCCCTAGCCTCCCACTTCCCTCTGGCTCCTGCTTCAGGAGCGAGCAGCGCTAGGGCTGACTTATAATTAGCTTTGACTGGGTGCTTTGTCTCCACTAATCCTTTGAAAGGGGGCTGGCAGGGCAGCTGAGACATTATGATGCAGTAAAACCTCTGTAATATTTATAAATCCCTTCAGACATCATAAAGAAAAGAACCTCCCTGCAGAGTTCATCTGACATAATTACATATACATTTCCTTCTGATTAATAACGAATGATCACTTCCGTCTGTGAGATTCTTGGCCCTTTCTCTCCGCAGACCTCAGCCTCCCCATCCCGCCTAGCCCCAGCCCTTTCATGTCCATCTTGTGAAATGTCACCCTACTGTGTGCCAGGCCCTGGTCTGGAAACCCACAAGGCAGGAAGGAATTGTTCTCTCTGATTGTACAAAGGGGGACCTGTAACCCCACACCCTGCGCCTTGGCCAGGCTCTGACCTTCCATATCAGGGCTTTTTCCAGCCCAGCTGTCTTGGGAATTTACTTGATAAAACCAAAAAACCTAAACTTATTGCCATCAAGTCGGAATCAACTCAGAGCAACCCCCTTTGGCTTTCTGAGGCGGTAAATCTTTAGGGAAGTAGATCACCCCATCTTCCTTCCAGGGAGTGGCTGGGGGGGTTTGAACCACCAACCTTCTGGCTGGTGGTCAAATGTCTTAGGCACCATGCCACCAAAACTCCTTATAACAGGGTCCTAAAAAATAAAATGCCTATGAAAGGAATACCTCAGGGCAGAAGGGACAGCCTAGCCCAAGGGGTCACTCAGATCTGGGTTTCAAGCCTGACTTTGCTGCTCACAGCCTGTGTGATGTTAAGAAAATTACTTGCCTTCTCTGAGCCTCAGTTTCCCGATTTGTAAACCAGGGTAACACCCACCTCAAAGAATCCACTGCTTCAGGATGTTTGTTTGGCGCTTGCTGGTTTCCAATCCAGCCCTGTGCCCAGTTCCAGAGCCCCAAAGCTGAATCAGATCCTATCCTTGTCCCCAAGGAGCTCACAGTCCAGCTGGGAGACAGCCATCAATAGAGAGCAATGGAGGGAAGGGCAGGCATGCTAGCTTAGAAAAGCCCCTATCTACTTGGGGATTCAGGGAAGACTTCCTGTAGGAGGTGGCTCCTGGGCTGGGACTTGGCAGCTGAGTCAGTTCTCAGGCCAAGCACGACTAATGGAGGTGTGTGAGGCAGAGGCTTCAGAGAGCAGCTCCACAGAAGGCCCTCAGGGGGATCCGTGAGGCTGAGCATAGGGAGGTCTGCAGGAAGAGCCCCACCTGGCCTGACAGGCAAAGGTGAGGGCGAGTGAGGGCACTCTGCACCCGGCTCCCGAGGGGCCCTGCTGATCCACCCCGGTCGGAAGTGAGGCAGGAACAGAGCCTCACCTTCTGCTGCTGTGACAGTCCTGCCCTGTCTTCCTCCACCCTCCTCTTCCTCATCACCCTGCCCTTCATCACCCTGGCCCCTACCAAGCCAGGAGAAGCAGACAGACGAGTCAGGACCACATGACCCACACATTCAGAACAGGCTAGGGTGGGCCAAGAAACCCTGGTGACAGCTACCCAAAATTTTGGCAGTTCAAGAGTCGCCAGGAGCTCCGTGGAAGAAAGACCTGGTGATTTGCACCCATAAAAATTTCAGCCTAGGAAACCCTACGGGGCAGTTCTACTCTGTCCTCCAGAGTCGCTGAGTGTCAACATGAACTCAAAGGCACACAACAACAGCAACAAAGGGCGGGCCAGACCCAACCAAGGACAACGCTAAGGATGTCAGTGAGAGGTGTAAGGTCAAGGTCGGGTGAGTTCAGGGGTGAGGTGAAGCTCAGAATCACAAATGAGGGTCAGAGGGTGAGGGTCAAGGGTGAGGTCTGGGCTGGGAGTGTAACCCCTACAGGTGGAAGGGAGGGGGACCTTCCTGGGGAGGAGTGTGGAAGGGCAGGGGTCAGACAGGAGAAGGCAGGACGGCCCCAGCCTACCATGACGTGGAGTCCTCGTGCTGTAGCAGAGTGGGAAGCACTCAGGGCTGCCGCTTTAAATAGTGCTCTTCTCCAGGCCTGGACAACAGTTTGGAAGGTGACGAAGGACAGGATGGGGACCTCCCTGCCAGGCACCTGTCCTGAGCCATTCAGAGTGGGTGGGATTGTGGGATCCTTGGATAAACAGGATCAACAGACCGTCCAAGCCACGGGACCGACCTCTTATGAGTGTTGGGACATCTATCACCTCTACAACCCAGGTGCCAAGGCCCAGGAAGGGGCACTTGGCCAAGGACACAGTCAGTTGAGGCCTGGAACTGGCTGGAGAGACTTAGCCTTTAGGCCATTGAGGGTCAGGAGAGCTGTCCAAGGCAAAGCCACCCATGCAGCTGGGAGCACTCAAGGGCTACAGTCTGGCCGACCCCTTGAGCGGTGTGACTCTAGGTGGAACACTACCGGCTGCATGCCTCAGATATCTGACCAGGAACATGGGGAGGAGGGTGGCACCCCGTCAGCTCATGGAGATGGTTTCTGTGCCAGGCTGGCCAACAGGGGCCCCTCAACCTATATGGCTATTGCCTCATGGTTATCAGTGCTACCATCGTCCACCAGCCAAGTTCTCCTTTGGGCACTGGAAATGCCCGAGGTGTTGAAGAAGCAAAGAAATAAAAAATGAAGGTGACTGACCAGGGAGAACTGAAAAGTCAGACCCTCACTCCTCGCTGATCACACACACTCCAGACGTGGCCTGTCCCCACCAGTCCCGGCCCTGTCCAAGAATTCTCCAGCAGATGTACTAGCACCTGCCCCTGGCAGGCCTCTCGTACATCTAGGGCAGCCCTGACAGTCCGGGTTGGACCTCAAAGGGGGCCCCTGTCCATCTGGCCCAGTCAGCTCCGGTCTGGGGCCTCCTCCATCTGATCAGCTGCCGGCACTGGCAGTGCTGCGTGCAGGCAGTGAGCCCACCTCCCAGCCCCAGGAGCTGGAGAGCTTAACTGTCCCTGGGAGCAGACCTCAGGCCTCCAGGCACTGCTGACCGGGGAGGGATTAGCCGTACCACGGCTCAAATCTGGGGCCCCTTGGGAGGGAAGGAATGTGATAACAATGATGACCAGAGTAGCTAACACGTAGGAAGCCCAGAAGGTCGAGCTATGCTCTAAACAGTGCTCACCATGTGGCCTCTCATTCGACCCTCACCTCATTTTCCAGGTAAGGATACTGAGGCAGAGAAAAAAACAAAAACAAAAAAACAAACTCACTGACATCAAGTCAAGGCACAGAAAGGCTCACCCAAGGCCAAGCAGTGGTAGGGCCACGGTACTTTTGTCCTTAGGTGCCTTAGAGTCGATTTCCAATGCACAGCGACCCTAGGTATCACAGAACAAAAAGTTGCCCAGTACAATGCCATCCTCACAACTGCTACTACAGCTGAGCCCACTGTTGCAGTCATTATGTCAGTCCATCTCATTGAGGGCCGTCCTCTTTCGCACTGACCCTTGCTTTACCAAGCATGTGTCCCTCTCCAGGGACTGG